ATCAGGTTGTCATTGCTTAGACCAATAGGGAGCTTACGCCCCGCACTCAGCTGTGTGAGGCCAGTCACGTAGGCAGAGGGAGCAGGTTTCCCTGCTCCCTCAGGAATGTATCCAGCTCAGGTTACAACTCAGGGTCACATGAAGAGATGGGGCAGAGGAGTCTGCCCTCTGCAGTGACAATGGTAACCAAATTGTCAGGTAGCAGAGTTTGGGGAGAGACAGAGATAGTATTCTGCCACATGGCATTGAGAGGTTGGGTGCTGGTGAAGAAACTCCTGCATAACTTCAGACGTTTGTGCACTGAAGGATGGTTATACAGCATATGTCTCACATCTTCAGTTTGTCTATATTGTTCTGTCCCACTGGACACTGCTACCCTGATGTCAGGCAGAGCGAGGCCAGCCAGAAGGTTCACACTGCTTAGGCTGGTAGGCTTCAGACATCCTGTGATACATCAGTAGCTATCTTTCAGAAGGGGGTCAAGGCGCTTAGCATGCATGGATCTCTCCCATACAAGACATGCATACTCAGAAGAGGAGAAGCTGAGAGCTAGAGCAGTGGTTTGGATTTGTGGAGGCTAGGTCCCCATTTTGAGTTGGTGAGCTTATACAAAGTGTTGTTTCAAGTGCTCACCTTTGCTTTTGTCTTCATGATGTGTTCTTTGTATGAGAGAGTTTGATTGAGGCTGACTCCAAGGTAAACTGGATTTGTACACTAGGGGAGTGTAGTCCCAGACCATGTAATGTTGAGTTGGTGGTTGACCTCGTGTTTTTTCAGATGGAAGGCACATATTTGTGTTTTAGCTGGGTTGGTGTGTAATTGGTTATCAGTGTAGTATGAGGTTAGACCAATTAGTGCCTCACTTAGGCATTCTTTGACATGGTCAAAGCCAGTGCTTTGGGTAGTTATACACAGGTGATTTGCATAGATAAAATGTTTTGTTTCCAAATTGATTGGTTGGTCAATCACATAGATGTTATGTAACAGTGGTACAGGTATGCTTTCTTCGGGCAGGCCATTAATCTGCCACCTCCATCCGCTTTGCTTCCCACCCAGTTTGACAAAACAAGTCTGTTTTTGAGCAGGGCTCATGTCAGCTTGGTAAGGTGTAGATCTTTTGTCATTTCCAGGGTCTTCAGCCTTTTCCATATCATCTGTCACTAGGTTGCCTCCCTCATACAGCAAGGGACCCACACTTTCCCATATATTCCCCTTGTTGCTGATATCCTTGTAGAAACCCTTCTTGTTACCCTTCACATTCTTTGCTGCTAGCTGCAACTCCAGTTGTGCTTTGGTCTTCCTGATTTCATCCCTGCATGCCTGAGCAATACTTTTATACTCCCTCCCAGTTATTTGTCTAAGTTTCCACTTCTTACAAGCTTCCTTTTTGTGTTTTAGTTCACTGAACAGTTCCCTACTAAGCCAAGCTGGTCTTCTGCCATACTTGCTAGTCGTCCTGTGCATGAGGAGGATCCTTTCCTGTATACTCAGTAAGACTTCTTTAAAGTAGAGCCAGCTCTCCTGGACTCCTCTCCCCTTCAGACTGGTTTCCCAGGTGATCCTGCCCATCAGTTCCTTGAGGGAGTCAAAGTCAGCTTTTCTGAAGTCCAGGGTCCATAATCTGCTGCTCTCTAGCCTTTCATTCTTCAGGATCCTGAACTTAATCATCTTGTGGTCACTGCTTCCCAGGTTGCCATCCACTACTACATTCCCCACCCATTCTTCCCTGTTTGGGAGCAGCAGGTCAAGAAGAGCATGGCCCCTAGTTGGTCTCTCCAACATTTGCACCAGGAACTTGTCTCTAACACTCTCCAAAAACTTCCAGAATTGCCTGAACACTGCTGTGTTGTCCTCCCAGCAGATGTCAGGTGATTGAAGTCCCCCATGCGATCCAGGGCCTGTGATTGGGAGATATTCACTAGCTGTTTGAAGAAAGTGTCATCTACCACTTCCTTCTGGTCTGGTGGTCTATAGCAGGCCCCCACCATGACATCACCCTTGTTGCTCTCCCCTCTGACCCTAACCCAGAGACTTTCAACAGGCCTGTCTCCAGTTTTGTACTGGATCTCTGAGCAATCATACAGCTCTTTTACATAGACTGACAGGTGAAGGCAGGTGCCAATGCTCATGATGGAAGTTACTATGAGGTCCTTACACAACAAATAGTCTCTTGATATTACCCAGATTGCTATCAATTTCTAACTATCTGTCCTGACCTGTTAATGGAGGAGCATCTCTGTCAAATGCTGGAGGCCTGAACTTTTTTGAAATCAGAACCTAGAGCCATACAGAACCCATACAGTCAGTGATCTCCTAATATTGGTAGAGGAGGATTAGACCTCTCAGCTGATCTATTTGCAGCTGTTAGGGCTTTCCATGGTGGGGTCCAGAACACTTTTTTGGGAAGTCAGCCTCCCCTGGCTTGAGGGAATGGAGTTCATGGCATTTATTCCCCTCAGGGAGAGCCAAGAGAACAATTTCTTGAGAAACCTGCATGTGGGGTGATAAAGTAGTTCAACCTGTCATCCCTTCCCCTTCAAAGGGTGTGTGAAGTGGCTGGGGCATAAGTAGATGGACATGGGAGCTCTGCAACTCCGTCCTACACAACATAGCTGGCATGGTGAATGGAAGCCCTTCTTTCCAAGGGGATTTGGGAGTTGTTGGAGATCAGTTTGAGAAAGAGGGAAATAAAGATCCTAGTTTGGAGACAGGCAGATGGACAGACTGGAAAAGTTTATTTCAGACTCACAAAGACAGAGTGTGTATAACTGATATGTACCACACACATTCCCTTCTTGGACCCTGTTGTGTTCATATGGACTCAGATATTTTGGTCCATTCTTTTTCCTTCAGCAGCCCAGAGAGGACTGGATGGCCTAGAGGTCCCTTTCTGTCCGAATTCCTGGGAAGCAGCAGCGCCCAAGACTGCTTGTTTCCATTCGTGTCTTGCAGATAAGGAAGACAAGCTCTTTCCTTTGCAACATGGGATCTTGGTGGTTAAAAACATAAGAACATAAGAAGTGCCAGGCCCAGTATTGTGTTCCTAATAATGGCAAAAATGGATGCTTTAGGGGAGAGAACACTGAACTGAATGTCTCTAGAGTGATCTATCCCCTATTCAATACCCACTCTAGCATCTATCATTATTGGTTTAAAGATGCCAGAGAAAATATCTCCAATCATTGTTCCATATCTTCATCAATGATCTGAAAGATGGGATGTTTGTGGTTTGTCAACAAGTTTGTGCCTGACATCCAGCTGGGTGAGGAAATTATACACTGGAGATTAGGGCTAGGATTCAGAGAGACCTTGACAAATTGGAGGATTGGACCGAAAGAAACGTAATGAAGTTCAATAAGGACAAATGCAAAATCCTGCACTTAGGATGGAAGCATCCCATGCATGGACAGTTTGGGGGCTGAGTGATTATTCAGCAGCTCTGTAGAAAAAGGACCTGGGGGTGACAGTGGAGAATAACTGACCAGGAGCCAGCAGTGTGCCCTTGTTGCCAAGAAGGCTACCGGCATCCTGGGCTGCATTGGTAGGAGCATTACCAGCAGATGGAGGGCAGTGATTCTTCTCCTCTATTCAGCACTGAGGAGGCCACCGCTGGAGTCCTGTGTCCAGTTTTGGGTTGCCCACTACAGAAAGGATGTGGACACACTGGAGAGAGTCCAGCAGAGAGCAACAAAAATGGTTTGGGGGCCGGGAGATGACTTGTGAAGAGATGCTGAGGGCTTATTTAGTCTGGAAAAAAAAAGACTGACCTGGGTGCAGGGAGGGGGCGAGGAGGGGGGAGGAGCAGGGTTATTACCAGGTTTAACTACCTGAAGGAGTGTTGCAAAGGGGATGGAGTTAGACTTTTCTCAGTGGTGACAGATGACAGAATGAAGAGCAATTGTCCCCAGATGCAGCAGGGGATGGTTAGATTACATTTTAGGAACATTTTCTCATGCGGAGCATAGGAAAGCACTGGAACAGACTATCCAGAGAGGTTGTGAAATCCTTATCCTTGGAGTTTTTTAAGACGGGGTTGGACAAAACCTTGCCTGGGATGATTTAGTTGGGAATGGTCCTGCTTTGAGCAGGGCTTTGCACTAGATGACCTCCCGATGTCCCTTCCAACCCTAATTTTCTATCATAATATAATTTTGTTTAATAGCCATTAATCAATCTATCTCCCCTGAATTTATCCAGCCCCTTTTGAACTTGTCTTTGCTCGCTTTCTCCACCATCTCTGGTGGCAATGAGCTCCATAAGTAACTATGCATCATGTAAAAAAGTACTTTCTCTTGTTAGCATGAAACATACTATCTACTAAATGAAGCAGGTGCCGTATAGAAATAGCATTCTGGGACTTGATGACCAACAAGTCCCTCTTCACTTGGTACACATACTTCCTAGGTTTATAGAGCTCTCTCCTATCCCTGGTCAGCCTTATCTTTTACAAACTGAAGAGTCCCCATGTTTTTAGTCACTTCGCTTGGTGATATCTTTCTGCAACTCATCTCCATCACCTTGGGACTTGACTACTCAGAATAATTTGGTATCATCTGCAAATTTGATTTCACTGTGCACCCCCAGAAACATTTTAGGCACTTGAAATGAAATCTCTTTGATGGAAAGTCCTGGATTTTTTAAGCTTCCCACTAGGCTAATTACTGTAACATAGAAAGGCAGCAATTTAGCACGCACGTGAGCATATATGGACATCCTGTTGTGTTTCTGGTTCAGCAAGATCTCTAAATTTAAATGGAAAATTAAAAAAAGGAATAAAAAAACACTACTCTGGGCATTTTAATATTCCCCCACAAATCTCTGAACCCTTAAATGTCTAATGTGGGGCCTGGGAATTGCAATATGATGACTGCTTATATGAGAGGAAGTACACAAAGACAAGTGATATAAATAAAAGGTTTGTTTCCAGAGATGTTTAATATGTGGAGGAGTTTCAGAAAATATTGGAGGTGTGCTGGTCCTTCACAATATAGCCATCAGAGTATGAAGAACTGGCTTTCTAGTTCCTGGCTTGGTTGGTTTCTTTCCTTGTGTGCAAATTTTATCACTTTTTATCCTGTCCCAGGGGTATCTCTGAACTAGCCTTTCCCCTGATAAATATCTTGAGAAAGCTTTCCTGAATCTGCTTGGTCTTTACCCCAAAAGTGACAGGGTTGAGAATGGCTGGCAGGAGCAGGTAGACATTGGCCATAAGGACCTGAATGTGTGGTGTGACTCTGTAATTCCCAAAGCGGGGTGTAATGATGGAAAAAATTGCTGGTGTGTAGGTGGTGATCATGGTACATACATGGGCTGTGCAGGTGCCAAAGGCCTTGCTGCGTGCTTCATTGGAGGAGAGGCCGAGCACAGCCCTGAGGATCATGATGTAGGAGATGGAGATGCAGATGATGTCTAAGCCTCCAATCATCAGGGAGACAATCAGGCCGTAGACAGTGTCTGTCCTGATACTGGCACAGGCCAGCTTCACCACAGACATGTGGTCACAGCAGGTGTGAGGGATGACATTAGTGCGGCAGTATGGCAGTCTCCTGGCCAAGAAGACGACTGGCATGACCAGCATCACCCCCCTGAGGAAGGTGACTGCTCCTGCTGTGGTGATAACAGAATTGGTCAGGATGGTGGCATACCTCAGGGGGTAACAGATGGCCACATATCTGTCCAAAGCCATGAGCATGAGCACACCAGACTCCATCCCTGTGAATGTGTAGATGAAGAACATCTGGGTCAGGCAGGCATTGAAGTCAACCTCTTTGAGCTTGAACCAGAAGATGCATATTGCCTGGGGCACCACGCATGTGCCCATTGCAATGTCAGTGAGGGTGAGCATGCAGAGGAAGTAGTACATGGGCCTGTGCAGAGCCTCCTCGATCCAGATGAGGTAAAGGAGGCCACAGTTCCCCACCATGGCAAAGAGGTACACGGAGCAGAATGGGATAGCAATCCATATGTGAGCTTCCTCCAGGCCTGGGATGCCACTCAGGATGATGGTGGAGGGCATCATTTCAGTGAGATTGGCTACTTCCATGATGGTGGCTGAGGATGGTGGTCCTCCTCACAGCAGGTCTTGCTTCCTGGGAAGGAAGAGAATATGGGACATAAAACAGTGACAGAGGCAGTAATGAACTTTGAAAATATCCTTAGCATCACAAGGCAATGCATTTTCTGTGCATAATAGCATATTTGTGGGAGTAATCATTAACCCATCAGGAAGCCAGCTCTAGTGAAGGGGTTGGGGGAGGAAATAGTTTCCATTATAACCCCAGGGCTCCAGTCCCTGAGATATTTCCATAACTCACTCCTTTTGCCCAGGATTTAACTTACGAACCTTTGCCTACAGGAGATTTTGTTTGGAAAAGCTTATGAAGAAATTGTGTTTGGGGGCATGTGGCACAGAGATAGCACTCACAAGCAAGGGGCAGAAATTAGAGACCAAGATACCATCCCCAAGGGAAATTCCCAAAATACTAGAGTCCAGGACCAGTCAGGCAGGGTTGGAAACCAGGTAACCAGAGAGCACAGGATCAGAGAGGCTTAGCCCAAGAGACCTGCAGTAGAACTGTTGATTGGTCTTCAGCCTCCTGCCACGGGTGCACTAAATGGGGAGGCTGTCACTTAGGAGACCCAGACAGTGGCCAGCAGGTTCATTAGCTAGGGTACAGCTTCAAGTCAGAGCCTCCAGACAGGTGTGGCCAGCTAGGTAATTAGCCCAAGCGGGTCTGCCTGTTATAGCCTTGGACAAATCTTCTAATGGCCAGTATGACATTGGTGCCAACTTCAGTTTTGCACTTGCTTAGCCCTGCTAACTCTGAGCTTCCCTTCGTAGCACCCCAAATACCATCATAAGGGTAGATGACACTTGAGGGGTGATCCTGCCTTGAGCAGAGGGGTGGACTTGGTGACCTTCTGGGGGGTCCTTCCAGCCCTACTCTTTTTTGCTTCTTTGCATAGATTACTATGATCTTCCTCTGAGCTGCGTGCAGTCTGGAATCTGACCCACAGACCCACCTCATCAGACCTTCCTTCACCTGCCTTATCTGCACTGTGGCTGTTTGGGGGAGGCTGTCCCTGATTCAGTGGAAGAAGGGGTGGCCCACCAGCATCCCTGGTATTATCCGTGAACCTTTCTTCTCCATTTGCAATGTCACTTATCTACTTTTCTCTAGTTCCCATCCCAACAAAGTCAGTGCTTCATCTCCCTTCCTTTCTTTGTCTTCTGAAACCAGGGTTTCTTGGAAGCCTGGTCTCTGCTTCTCTATAAGACAATAAGGCTGTGCAAGGCTTCAGATGGAGCTTCAGATCCAGAGAAGCTTTGGACTCTTTGGAGTCCGAAGCAGCATGTCCGGGTCAAAGAGCTGGACTCGTTAGGCTTCCCGAAGCAGTTCAGAGCTCCAGAAGAGCTTTGGAGCTGCCTTGGAGCTGCCTCGGAGATCCGTCCATAGGGTATAATGGGGAAACAATAAAATATCTATAACTTTGTTGCTTTTTGTCTGATTTGGATGAAATTTTCAAGAAGATTGGTGCAGGGGTTTCGGGGGAACGGCACTCCAAATTCATGAAAGCAAAACTTATGTCACGCCTAGGCATTACAACATGGTGGGGTGAAAACTGCAGGGGCAGTAGCTCTTACTGAGGCCACAAAGCCTGCCAAGTTTCAAGAAGATCGGTGCTGGGGTTTGGGGGGAACTGCCCCTCAACCTGCGGACAAGCAAAACTCATGCCCTGGAGGAAAACTTGTGCCCCAGAACCTCCCTGCACCGATCTCCTTGACAGCTGTGACACGAGTTTGGCTTTCAAGAATTTGGGACACAGTTTCCCCCAAACCCCTCCACTGATCTTCTTGAAACTTGGCAGGTTTCATGATCTCAGCAGAGGCTACCATCCCATCCCTGCAAGTTTCATCCAAATTGGACAAAAAACAACAGAGTTATAAATATTTCATTGATTCCCCATTATACCTTTATGGCTGGATCTCCGAGGTGGCTCTGAAGCTTCGGAGCTGCTTCGGCCAGATCGAGGTGGAAACCTGGTCTGGAGCTTCAGATTGGATCACGGTCATCCAAAGTGGCTGGATCCAAAGCTGGATTGGATTGCTGCCGACTCGCACAGGCCTATAAGACAATATATGTAGAGAAACTTACCACTACCTATTATATAAAGTGCATATGAGAAAATTTAGCATCTAACCTGATTTCAACACTGAGGTGTAGATATAGAAAAAGAAGAAGTCTTCCAATGAGACGCCCACTCACCAAAGCCCAAAGTGATCTGTGTTGCTTGTTCATAGTTGATCATGAGATTGGCATAGAGCTCCCACTACTTGGAAATGTGAGGAGTATTTATAAGGTCTCTGTGTAAGCTCCCTTTGGGTTCCCCCATTTGGATAGTCACAAGTGTTTGTGCCTGTCATTGTCCCCCAGGAGACTTGGTCCTGGAGAGCAAAGAAACTAGTGAGGAGAGAAATTTGTGGATAAGGAAAGCACAGAAGTGTTTAACCCCTGGTTGGGTGTATGGAAATGTGCTTCACTTCTGTGGACACCTAATTACCTGTGCCACTGAATTCCCCCACTAGCCATGAGATAATCCTTATCCCCGTAGAATGGCTATGGACACCAGGAGCTCAGAGTATAGACATGGACTGGGAAAGGGAGAGGTAGCTGAAAGGTAGGAATGTTAAATACAATATTTCTCCAACCTCTGACCCTTTAGCTCCACACCTTTTCTTATCTTATCCACTGATTTGTCTTTAAGTCACTGAACTTTCCTACCGGAATCCTGCAGCTTCCTTAAAATGGGGATGAAGAACACCCTCCCACTCTCTCCTTTACAGAAGGGAAGGAGACAAATCCATTGCGGCCTGACAGATCTGTGTTAGACAATGAGGACATGGGTTGTGTGTGAGAGCCCTAATGTCTCTGGGCTGCCAGAGTCTGGCAAATGTCAGCAGCTGAAATACAGGGAGGCCTTGAGAAAGGCCTTTCTTGTGGGGCCTTCAAGATGGCCAAAACCAGAAAGTTTTTGGGAATTTCACAGCAAATTTGTTCTTCCCTTTCAGTTTGACTTCATGGATGGAGGTGTTGGGAGACATTTGGCCAATCTGGCAGTGACGTAACGGGGGTCTCCGGTGCACTGGGGCCAATGCTTGCATTTGCACCCCCCGCCCCCTTCCTGCCCTTCTTGGCGCAATACTTAAAGTCTTATCATGCTATAAGAACTCTGAAGGGCCAGGCTGGCACCCCCCCAGGCCGTCACCCTGGGGTCATGGTCCCCTTCCATCCCCCGCATCAGTCCACCACTGCAGTCTAGCCTGTCAGCCCTCTGTGAAGCATTGATGCTGGGATAGCCCTGAATGCTAGGGGCTTCAAGAAGAAGTGGAAATCAGTTTGGGATGGGATGTGGTATATGTAGAGGAGAGAAGACAGAGGGACGTGGTTGAGAGAAGTGGTGTGGTGCCTCTTCCTATACAGTCTCAGAGAAAGATGACAAGGAAGGACAGAATAGTAGTTCTCCCTCCTGAGGGGATAGGAGGAGGGTCCCCTTCACACCAGGAACATGAAGGCCACATATTTCAAGTTGAATTTCTACACCTTAGGTGATCTCACCAAAGCTGTTGATGGGTAACTTCACTCAAGGAGAGAAACCTTTTCAATGGGTGCTGAAAGAAACAATTTATTATTATTCTAAGAAAGAGTGTAAACATTTTGTGAAGTTTGGTTGAGCCCGACTTGGAATTTTTGGACCCTGAAGGAGTGCAACACAACACTTTTGCTGGACTGAAATGTGTCCTGTCCCTAGATTGGGAAAGTGGATCATCTTTGACCTTCCACTGTTTCTCTCTCAGGCCTCCTCATCTCGATTATTTATCCCTGGGAAGTCCCCTCAGTGATGACTTAGTAGAATGGGGGTCTGGCTCAAACTGCAAGTTGTCCAATTAGTCTTTTGTCACTAGATTTGTCTTCTTTGTTATGGCACTATTCAAAGATGGAGTGTATGCTATCTTAAATACCATCCAGGGCATCATTCTCATGTCCTCAGTACCTGTGAGGCACCTCAGGACTCTCAGACATCTCTACTGCATACCAGGTATGCAGCTATATAGCTGGCCCACGAGTCTCCAAAACTTATTCCTCCTCCTTCTGGGCATAGATGTAAGTTGGAGAGGGTTCTTCTCCCCTCAGCCAAATAGCTGGGGCTGTCCTGGGGCATGAGATAGGTTGTGTGTTGACTATGAACAGGTTTATGACCCCATGGCAACTCTAGGCTTCATAGACACATCTGACTTTTTGTCTCTGAGGGTAATTTCCAAAAATAATAGTTCATTCTTAACTAGATTTCACCTCCTTAGAGGAATTATCTGCAAGCAGGGTGGAAGACCTCAGATGGGTCTGATCATGTGAATCCTATTCTCCTTTGTTAACAGTTGCTAAATTGCATCCACAAAATTACAGCTACTTCTCTAAGTCCTTAAGTAATTCCTTTCCTGACATTTTCTTTTCCTGTCATGGAGTTGCTCTGGGTGCTACTGTGTGTACTAGAATACTTTTTTGAAATAAAATCTTCATATTTTCCCAAGCAGGAAGCAACTGTGACCACCTGAAACCTGAGATCCTGCTCCTGCCTTTGTTTCAAGGTAATTTGCATCATCACAGATCCTCACAGGAGGGGAGAGGCTTCATTACAGCTATGAACTGACTGCCCAGAGGAGTTTTCCATAAATTGACTCCTCTGTGAAATCCTGTGAAATATGAACTTTCATTTCTATCCAGGAGAACTTTTACAGTTTTTTCTACAATGCCTAAAGAAAGGTGCTTGTGCCTGAAAGCTTGCAATTAAAGATTATTATTTTTTTTTTTTGCAAAAAACTTGTTGGTCTAATAAAAGATATCATCTCTACTATGATTCCTGATTGCCTTTTTCTCCAGACGAATATGGCTACCACCTGAATACCTAGAATAACGCATGCACCTTTCCCTCCAAAATCAGCCTGCCACAATTGGGGTGTGTTTTTTAAGTGGGAGAGATTATTTT